CCTTCAACGACTGCTCCACCGTGTCTGTTTGGTACACGAGCCATTCATATAATCTACATAAACCTAGAATAGTCTGACGAAAAAATCATCGAAACAAGGGTTATCCTTGTTTCGATGTTTTTTATGACGTTCTTGTTTAAATAGTATTAGACAACTTATTTAATTGATACTGTCGCTTTTAACTCAGAGCAATACTTCTCGTCAAGACTTAGGATGCGCGCCAAATCTATCCATACTTCTAGTGACATTGACAGCTGTCAGCTAGGGACGTGCCGTTTATGCCGATAATCTAGAGTTGCGCCAATTCTATAGCACGGTACTAATTTTATTCCTAACAATAGTGACCTAGTAGCGCAGTGTTGGAGTCCCTCCAGAACTTGATGCTGAGCTTGCCGAAGGAGACGTGGTTGAGGTTCTTGAGGAACTCGAAGTAGGAGACGGTGACGCCGCCCGCGTTCGCCAGCAGGTCTGGCAGCACCAGCACGCCGTTCTTGCGCAGGATGATGTCCGCCGCGGGTGTCGTCGGCCCGTTGGCTCCTTCCGCCATCACCTGCACATTACATACATCTGTTTTGATCGTTGTTATTACCACTAGTTGCTACTAATCATCAAGTACTGATGACCAACCAAGCCTTTCAGTTGATTTGGGACAAGGTGGCATGAACTACACCATAGAACATAGAATAACTTGTTTCTAGCTAGCAATGACCTTGCACTTGATCTTGCCGGCGTTATCTTGCGTGATGGTCTTCTCCATGGCGGCAACGACGAGGATGTCGCACTTCTCGAACATCAGTTCGGGCCCCGTCTGCTGCGCGCCTGGAAACCCCTTGACGCTGCCTTTATTGTCCGCTTTGTAATTTTGAAGTTTCTGCATTTTTATTGATAATGAGTAACAACATATATAAGGCTTTAACTTTTGTATATTATAGACGAGAATAAAATCTCTAGGATGCAAGTAAATGCCGCACCAGAGTGTCGATGCCGTCCTTGTTGGTGAGGTTGCAGTCGTATTCGCACACACCAATCACCTTGACGCCGCTGCGCTGCAAGTACACGGCCGCGTAGCTGCCCACGTTGCCGAACCCTTGGATTATCGCCGTCTTGTTCTGCACACACAACTTACCTATACTATTTCATTACTTTTCTTACAACATAAGTAAAAGCATATGTCGTAATTATGTATGGATGTATTATTCATCGATAGTTTTCGATAAGAAAGGCGATAAGGCCAAGTTTAGAATAGTATACCAATCCAGCGCTATCTATCGCTTCTGCCTGCTTTTCCTAACATTGTAATCTGATGTGCGACCTTGAATCCGGGCTCGAGCCCGACGAGCTTCATCCACTTCTCGTCGTGCATAAAGTAGTTGATAGTCATATAGACACCGCGGCCGGTCGCCTCCACGCGGCCGTGGATGCCGCCCCCGTTGATTGGCTTGCCCGTCACGCATGCCGCCGCGTTCAAATCGTTATACCCTTTAATCGCACAATAATAAAGTTTCCAAGCTAAATAGGATAATAAAGTCTCACGTACTATCTTAATATTTAAAGAAGATATGCTGTCGAGATATCTTTTTAATTCAAAAGTTTTTTGGATTGTCTTATGCCTGGTGTTCGCGATCGCCTTCGCTTGCGTGGACGATGATTATTCAGAAAAATCGGGTATACTCAATACTGAAAACATTACTAACCAAGTGTCTTAATGTATGTATCAACAATCCACGACATCTCTCGTCCCGATGTATTCATATCCGGCGCCGGCACGTCGATGCCCGCTCCTACATAAACGTATGCAATATTCTATCATCTGTGCTTTACCAATTTCAGTTGTACATTCATAAGTGTGGAGCTACAAACCGATATAGTTCTTCTTGGCCAGTTCAAGCGTGTAGCGGCGGGTGATGCGCTGAAGCTCAGCCACGGAGTAATTCCTGGGGTTAATGGCGACACCTGCATCACTATATAAGCTTTACGTCTTGTATAATTTATAATTGGACACAATACTAACAAGTCCTCACCGAACTTACAGATCAAGGTTTCACAATATTTAAACGATGTACTGTTAGTTTGCCTCCAAAAATGAAGAGAAAGAGAAGAGAAAGAATGAAGAGAAAAGAGACTACTAAATTACGTTTCGTTTAGCTCATCCACAGCAGATGTCCACGGAAGTCGGTGATGAACTTTCAGGATTACTGTTCGTCTGTTTAAGGACATATATATTGTTTTGTATCCTCACCGCCTTTAGAACCACCGAAGGGTATGTTGGAGCAGGCGCACTTGTATGTCATGAGCGCCGCTAGCGCCTTCACTTCCTCCAAGTCTACTACATTCGAAAACCTGATACCTGTACGTCAAATGGATACTTTGTTTATGTTCTTACCTTACTGTACACTACACAACATTAAGTCTAAATAGAACTACAAGACTGCTTACGATTTTAAAATAACATTGCTGTTTTTAGGCTTGCACTGTACCAATGGAACAATTCGTTCTAAAGCATTTGACTTACTAGGTATCTGTGTAATAAATCATTATAACGCAATATAACCTCCTTTACAAGGCAGCCGGTGCACGCTGTGCTGCGACCGGTAGCCCTGCACGATCTCGTATTCGCCGTTCTTACGCTGCAGCGGGAACTCGAACTGCAGCGAACTGTTACACGATCCCATCACCTGATATACATGTGTGTACTCAAACATATGTTTCATATTCCAATTTAAACTAGAAGATAATTGCGAGCCTGTCATGTTATACAGCAGTTCTGTTACATTATACACAGATGTCCCTCGCTACGTTAATATTTATATTGTTCTTGGTTACTTTTCTGTGTTAAATCCATCTACTTTTACTTTATCTTTATTGTTACACTACACTTGCAAACTCTTTGGCCATCGAGCACTGCCTCGTTTCACGATCTAGGCGGCGTGCGCTGTCACTGCGAAGTTTACGAATGCGCTATTACCTTTAGAATCCCCGCGACCCTTTGTGTTCTCTTCTTGTCTGAGAGATGTGTATGTTTCTTCAGGTAGTCCAGCAACGTCGGCTCCACCATGACAATTGCTCTGTGGTAGAAGTATTCCACCATTCTGTAGAAACTGGGATTGGGGTCCGTCGCTATCAGTTGTAAATGTTTAGGTATTTCGTAAAATCGGACGATGATTTTTTGAAAATCTCTATTCCTTGTGCCATATTTAATATTTCGAAACGTTTTAAACATTTTAAAATAGTATATAACAATTCTAATACAAATTAAAGTTTAGAATACCGGTTGTCAGTTTGTCAGTTTGACAATCGATTTGGAAAACATTACTTTTTTTTATAATGTAAGAAACTGGCATTATATTTGTCTGGTGACATCTACAATTAAGTTTAATAGGTCAAAAACAGATTGTATGGGTAAGCAGACGAAGTAAATTACGTAAACCCTCTAACCTCTAAGTGTCTATAAGTAGGTATAAACACTACAGCTGCAGTTATAAACCAATTTAGAGAAATACTGCGCAATATTTTAATCGCATGTAAAAGCACATGGCTTGCTCTCGTATGAGGCATACTCCGAATCTTTAATTAAAATAATCTTATATCTTACTAATATTATAAATGCCAAAGTTTAGATGGATGTTTGTTAGAGTTTATAGCTTAAACAGCTGAACAGATCAATGAAATTTAGCACTCACGTAGAGAATAATTTGGAAGAACACAGAGGCTAAATACTTTTGTTTTCTTTAATTCCACGCGGACGGAATCGCGAAAGCTAGTCTGACATAAAGGTTTACAATAAAAGACAGAGATATAAGAGGACGTAATTTATTGTTGTATCCTGCATATGGGGTTGCGATGCACCATGCGCAGGTCGACGCGCGGCCCCACCAGGTCGCGGATGTTGTCGAGGCCGTACTTGATCATGGTGGGGCGCTCCAGCGACAGCCCCCACGCGATCACACTCACGTCCGCGCCCAGCCCCATCGGCCGCAGCATCTCCGGCCGGAACACGCCCGAGTTGCCGATCTCTATCCACTTGCCCAGCCCTGTGCATCGAACGTGCGGCTAAATTATCACGATCTATCAAGAATATCTAGAAGTCAAGATTTGAACAAAAAAAAAACCGTTTTTAGCAGACATTCAGATTTTTTATAGTATAAGTGATAAACAAGCATGTGGTCACCGGATAAAATAATGAACGGAGACTCACAGGAAGAGGAAATTTCTCCTCCACCTCCGAATTCACTTCCCATCCTTTCCTTTTACGAAAAAGGTGGAAGTGGAAAGTGGAAGAGGAAGAGGATTAAAATGAGTCCTCTGGCGCGCACAGTCATCAGAGTGTACCTAGATTTAGTTCTACTCGACGTCTGTTAAAAATACTCGCCTGTATGATAAGCGAATATCTCCATGCTGGGCTCCGTGTAAGGGTTGTAGGCGGGCTTGAACTGCAGCCGCTGGAAGCCGAGCCGGCGGAAGAAGGTGTCCAGCACGCTCAGCAGGTCCGCCAGCCCCAGCCCGCGCGCCGCCACCACGCCCTCCACCTGCTGGAACTCCGCCAGGTGCGTCGCGTCCAGCGTCTCGTTGCGGAACACCTGCCGCGACAACCAGCGCTCTACACTTCACAACTTAGCAGTGGCCCTATTTCTGGCGACTCAACGTGTACATACAACTTACTCCCTTACTTCACCCATCCTACTGGAGTGATGTTTCGAAACCCACAAAAAACGAAGAGTCTGATGAATTGTCATCGGACATTTTATTAAAATGGTTAGGAAATATGTGGTCTTAATTTTTGCCTGCCTAGCCAGATAAGCCACTAGTAGGGTAACTGACCTTATCAATACTGAAGTACTTCTGCGGCGTGAACTCCTTCTGCTGCGCCAGGTGGTACAGCATGCGAGCACTCACTGCTGTCGTGTGTGTGCGGAGCAAGTTCTTTTGTGCTTCCTCCACCTTCCAGTCATATCTGTAACCCTAAGGGCGGAAAAACACACGCCAGTAAAACGAGGTACCAGCTGGCAGCCAGCAACTGGCAGGCATCTTGACTGTACTCACCTGTGACCCATATCCTCCTTCACTATGGACTTTCTTCACTCTCTCTAAGTAATCCATGGGAAAGTCTGTTGTTGATGCCGGAGATGAAATGAAAAATGTGTCATGAGCATCCCTAGCGGGGTGCTGTTGTGGCTGAAACAATGCATCGAAGTTCCAGAAGGAGCTCTCCACATACTGGTTAGTCGGCATCTCTGAGAAACCCATCTCTAAGAAGATCTCCCTGAACTCCGACCTCACTTTGAGCAGTGGATGCAAGTGCCCACAATCTGGCGGCTGTCCTGTATGAAACAATAACTATTATTTTTAGACTGCATAGCTACATATATCTTACTTCTTACTAATAATTTAATTGCGAAAGTTTGGATGGATGTTCATTATTTACATACTAGTTTTCGCCCGCGTCTCCGTCTGCATGGAATGAAAAAAAAAAGTGAATAGTCTATCCTCACATCTATGCCATATTTCATCGAAATCCGTTCAGCTGTTTAGGCTACAAACTCTAACAAACATCCATCTATCCATCCATCCATCTAAACCTTCACATTTATAATATTAATAAGAAGTGAGATGTCAAGAATGGCTTAAGAGATCTACCTAAAATGTGGTACAGATGATGAACATAGTCTTCGAGAATACATATGATAATAATTAAGGGTTTTTTTTTAAATTCCACATAAACAAAGTAGCACAAAGCTAGTGACATATAAGACACAAAGCAACACTATGAATTTTACCTAATGCATCAAAGTTATATGGCTTGAACTGCAATTGCTTCCAAGAACCAGATAAAAGCATATCACTTGTCAAATCAGTTTCCAACTTTGTTATAGTTGTTGAAAACTGTGGCCCTTTTGTTAGTAGAAAACTTTTTAATGTGATCTCTTGTAGCAGTTTTCTTTTTTTATAGTCATTTCTGACATTATCTGGCAGATTGTCTATGCCTTTTTTGATCTCATTCAAATGGTCTTGTACTGAGTCTGTAATGCATGATGCTTTGCGTTTCACTAGTGGTGCTCCTCCAGATTTGTCTATAAGTATCCATCCTGCAGACATTGCTTTGCTAAAACCCACCTTAGCATTCGGTACACTCTGTGAAGTATAAAAAAGTTTATTGGAAAAAGTATGAAATCTGTACTATTATAAATAGAGGTAGTATTATTATTTCAAAGTAGTAGTCTTTGCATATTGTAATTAATTAAATACCGGTATTCATTTACATATTTAATATTATTGCAATAATACAAGACAAACTTTACTTTCATGAGTTCTGCTTGAGAAATTCCACTATCTGGTATACTTCTGTAAACAATTGCTTCATGACTACCATTATCAGCGACTTGCTGGCCTTCTTCTGTTAATTCCCATCTAGTGGTCTTCAGCGGTTCAGACTTTACCATGTCCAGTGCTTCGATACTTTTCACAGCACCTATTATCTTTTGATGATCTTCACCGAATTCATCGGCTAGTTTTAAAGTATCGACTTTATCAAGATCGTTTAAATAATTTAAAATCCGTTCATTGAGTTCCATTTTAAAATATTGTACTTTATTTCAGTATTTTAGGTTATTATTTAGGTCCTCTTTAATACTTGGCGAAATTTTACAAGTGACAAGTTGTTCCACTTGTCACTGTCAAAAACAGCTGTCAATTGTCAGTATCGAGTGACGTCCTGGTAAGAATAGGTAAAATAAAAATCGATTCTCGTCTGTATATTAATCGATAATATTTAAAAAAATGTAAGAACACAAATTTTGCTCGGTTTTAGAAAACAAACTAAATTTATTTACGTAATTTTATTTATTTACACAACAAAAAATGGTTTGTTCTAACTTTAATTAAATAAAAAAAAATTGTCGCATAATCTGAAAATCGATATTGGAGATATTAATGTTTTAAAGTCGATACACCGTTGAACAGACATCACTTTATGTTTTTCTTAAATATGTGGCTGTGATGCTGTCATTGGCTCCCCATTCTAGTATTTAAAGGTGTGAGTGCCGTAATTCTACACAGGCTTTACCCGCAATTTTTTGATTTAGATGCAATTTGGTGGTTATTGGTTAAAAATTATAACTGCTTTGGAATCGTGTGAATCAATTGCGTGACACTGATACTTGATACTGTAAGGTAAGATTTTAAATACTTATTAATAATAAAATGTTTAAATTCCTATTTCCTCTTTTCTTAACCTGTATGTAATTTAAAATTCAAACACAGTAGGAATGCTACTATTTTAATTTTGTAATTAATATGTTTGAATTTTTTTTATTTCAAATTGTGAAATAGGAAACGTATTATTCATGAATCCAAAATCGTTATAACAACAAGTACCTCTGTCTTGGCTTATTGTTTATTTCTGGTTTTTAATATAAACAATAAAAATATTTATTTTGCATAAAAGTTAAATTTATCAACATATATTTATATTAAACGGTATATATTACTTTTAAATTTATTTACATTAATATGAATGTTACAAAATTCTATAGTCTTTGTGTAGTGAATATAAATAGTTATTCAGATCAGAACTAAAAAATAGTTTATTAATTCTAACTAGATTACTTTATGCACTAAATTCATGTTTGAATTGATTTTTAGATGTCCCGGTTAGATTTGGTGATTTTTGGGGCCACAGGGTTCACTGGCAAACATGCTGTGATGGAATGTGCTAGAATTGCCAAGAAGAAGGCTGGCCTTACTTGGGGCATTGCAGGCCGGTCACAGTCTAAACTCAATGCTGTGCTTGAGGAAGCTTCTAAAAAGACTGGTAAGTCTTTCCCATGTAGTAATGTTGAAAATGTCTTTGAAGACATTTTGGACTTGACAGGTTGTTTTCAATATGTTATACAGTTTTCTAATAATAGATTTGTTGTTTTTGAAATGCAAAAATTTTTTTTGATAATTATCTGTAAATGTTTTTTTTATGTGAAATCTCAGGTTGTTTCCTGAACTTAAATTTATGATGAAAATACAATAGATAATAATTAAATTTGTAATACAATTTATTTTAAAAGATGCATCTGTTTTCTCGTTTTTCACAAAACATGTAAATAAAGTCACAAAAACTATATAATTTAACTAATTATTAAATTCACTAGCTTTTTTGGATCTTTTGTGATAAATTTTTTGTTCAAGATGTTGAAAATTCTTGCATAAAATAATGTTATTACAAGAGTTTCTATAACCACTCGACTTATTTAAAACTGTAAGCGGCTACGCGTAAGATCCCTTTTGCACTAAACAACCCGCGCGGACTGTGTCAACTCCGTCGCGGACGTATTAGTGGAAATATTACGTGCGTTTCTCATTTGTAAATATGCCTGTATAAAGGATAAAATATAAAATAATACTATTTACTTTGAGTGATGTTTATATTTAAAGTAAGACACACGTTAACATATACGCCCTGATACTGTTTACTCCATAAATAAAGGCTATTTCACACTAGGCTAATAGTTTATTCGAATACTTAGTAATATGGTAACATAATTTGTCTAAACCACGAAATTACCACAATAGATTGGCAATTGATTGTGTAAAGTTGATTTGTTAAATATTTTCAGTGATTACCTCCTATCAGTCACTACTGATTGCTAAGTGGCGACGTTGGTACAACAAAATAGATTATCTGATTATGCTTTGTTACTAATCTCGAATTTTCATCATTCACACACGTTAATATACTCTGTAGTCGAATAAATAACTGGCATAGTGCGTACTAGCCTTAAGATACTCAATTCACATAACCTTGGTCAGTGTAGAGGTGACAGGATATGTTCGAATCGTAAATGTGATAAAATCGTACTTTACCGTATTTTCTACCTGAATAATTAAAATATTTATAGAGAATAAAATACTTTACAGGATACTATTGTAATAATCATTTAAGTTTATTCCTATTAATAGACAAATCTAAGTTTTATGCGATTAATTTGTCTTTTGGTGAAGTTTTAACAGTTTTGTGCGATAGGGAAGCATTTATCTTTTTTAATGAGATACACAAATTAAGAAAATATACCTATTTGTACAAATATCAGGGAGGGAGGGTCCAGCACGAAAATTTCGAAAAAATATTAGTTGTAAGTGACAAAAGTATCAGATTTAAAGAGCGTAATGAGTGTAAACCGACAAATAATAATATTATTTCCTCGAAATAAAGTTTATTACTATCACAAAACTCATAAAAATGTTTTCTCGATGACATTAAGAATACTTTTTCGCAAAATTTCGTGGTAGCACTAAATCGTTTTTAATTAAGATGTTTCGTCCAAATTTTGTGTAGTTTAATTTTTGTTAATAATTAATTTTATTTTTGAAAATAATAAAAAACGCTTACTAAAACAGTACTTTAATTTAATTATATTATTATAAACCGGTAAAGAAATAATTTTTTTTAATACTTAAGCAGCAAATTTTAAAACTTTTAAGTTAATGTAGGTTTTATGCGTTTTTTATGTTATGATTGTCGTCACAATCCTGATAACTATAATTATATACTTCAACCTTGAATAATGTTTTATCGTTAGTTATTTTAATTTATATACAAAAAAGTGGTTATTGTGCGACAATCTTAATAGATAAATATATGCTATCGCGGACTTTCATTTAGCAAATTTAAAGGGTTACAATTCTTCTATACATCATTTTTATGTAAGTCTTATAGTTTAGGCTACGTAAGCAAATAAAGCAAAAATGACCCTAAATTTCGTTGCGCGATTTTGAGCTAAACTATTTAACTACGTCGTAGTTTTTGACTCCAAAAATCAAACGAAAAAATGAGACCCACCTGCAAGCATTACCTTTCGGATAAAAAAAGAATTATCAAAATCGGTCCACTAGCAGAAGATTTATTCCATAACACACATAAAAAAACATACAGACGAATTGAGTACCTCCTTTTGGGAAGTCGGTCAAAAAATACAGTCTTGTCCTATCTTGCTATTTACAATGACTCTTTTATCAGATTAGAGTTATGTATACCTACTTATAAAACCGATCTATAATTCAATATTTGAATAAATAATGTGTCGGCCTTTGAACATTGTGGCGTAGGTATCGATGACATCATGAACAAGTTTCCTTACATTCCTAACCATAAACTAAAAACGTATAAAATTTATTACATATGACATGAGAAATATTTAAAATAAATTATTAAACGAAACTTTTATACTCGAATTTAACGAGACGGGCATAAGAATAGGATACGCGACATGGGTCAAATGGTATTCCATATTCTCTGCTTACCCCTCCGTGATTACGGCGTGAATTACGTTGTTGTGCATGTTAATAGTTTTTTTATAACTTTGTACATCAGATATTAAAACGATTTATAATTAAAAATACCTACATGATTGTTTACGACTCAAAGATGCAAATTACAGCAACCACTCGGAGCAAAGATCGGGTAATTTATAACAATCATTAACGACATAAAAAATGTACTAGCTCTTATAGGAACTTTGTAATTTTATTCTAGATCTTTGTGTTTAAAACAAAAGACGTAAACATTAAAAAATCTGCTCGTAATATTATTAGATATAGGAACTTAAAATTCACTACATGTAGTTTTGATAGTGGCTTCCTTATATTTTACTACGAGCTGTTGCCCGCGACTTCGTCCGCGTGGTATTAGAAAACATATAAACTATATAAATTACAAAAAGCTACGTATCCCTAACCGGACATTTCTTGGGCATGAAGCTTATCCCATGTGTACTCCAGACTTTGTTTTATATCTGTGCCAAATTTCAATAAGACATGTTGAACAGTTGCAGAATGATCGAGTAAACATTAAAAAACTAAATTAATAATTCCCACGGGAACCGTAATTATTCCTGGGATAAAAAGTAGCCTGTGTGTTTTTCCAGACTATGCTCTAAATCTGTGCCAAATTTCATGGAGATCCGTTCAGGCGTTTAGGCTACAAACGCTAACAAACATCCATCCATCCATCCATCCATCCATCCATCTAAACTTTCGCATTTATAACATTAGTAAGATAAATTTTTATACAGAAATTTACGGACTTCTTGAAGTTGTGAATACCGATAGATGTAGGGCCTGTATAGTCGGATATACAAAACGCTCACGCCCCCACAGTGTTTCATTTGGTTCATTTGTATTAGTCCGATTTTAATGTTTACAGTACTCGGGGAAAAAAATATATCTATACTTCTATACTATTATAATAAACACACACTTCTTTGTTGCCTAAGATGTCAGGAATTACAGCATATTTTTGAATAATCCTTTTTTTAAATAAAAAAACCCTACACTTGCGTCACGCTTTAGGCTATGTATTTTAACACCATTAAACTTAGGGGGTAAATATTTTGGATAAAAACTCTAATGTGGGAAAGATACCATAAGTTGCTGCCGACATCAAGGAAGCATAGTGGTCATCATGTCATGTAATTTTGACATTAGTAATTGATAATATGGCAAATGTAAATAATAAAAAAAATCATAATTTCATGCGGATGAAGCCGCACTGGAACAGCTAGTAACTAATAATACACTACAATTTCTTATTTAATTTGGTCAAACAATAGTTCAATGATAATTGTCGATATCGCGTGTATTTTAACCGCGATAGGTTATCTGCAAGTTACGTTACTAAGGGTACATGGGATCGCATGACGAATTAATCCATTATAATCTAAATCATTGTAAAATAATACAATTGAATACTGATTGCTAGACGTAGAACAAGTAAAAAATGGATGTTTGATTAAATTGTATATCTGATCCCTTAGTAACCAAATAAGTATACTTTGATTTCACATGTCAGAACCAGTCGTGGTCACTAATTATAGACTCCAGGTTTAACTGGAAGCCACATATTGACTATGTTTGCAAGAAATTAAGATCTGTTCTGTCTAGGCTGTCCCTGCTTAGAC